TCCGTCTGGCGTCAATTACATATGATCTGTTTGAATATTCTTATTTGACCCTCCATTACGAATCCTCCTCCAGGCTTGATGATGGGCTCTCTTATGATACTGGCTCTTCTTGGCGACTTTTCTTCTCTATTTCCCACCTCCTCCCTAAACCTAAACTGTACCTTTGGTATGCAACTTTTATGGCCACTCTACTGCGTCGCGTAGGTTTCTCAGCCCAGAAAGCTACTTACGCCAGCCCACTTGATGAACTAATCCCTCATCAAACTGCAAAGACACAATAGTTAGATTACATGCTTCGTCTCATGATTCAAAAGTTCTACTCTGCACTTGTCGCTTGCACTTCAGATCGTTTGAAACCTGCGCAAACCTGCGTATGGTGACCAATCGAAGAGTCCTCGCGCTAGAAACAGGGGAGTGATAGCGCTACAGTCACACAAAGACCAGCTTCCGTATCTAAAGCTGTTCTCAAAGGGAGGGACCCTTTTGTCGCCAATGGTCGCTTTGGTCAGTTCAGCTGAATGTATATATCTTTTACACGTGCTTCTCCAATTTTTGTAGTCATTTCACTATTGTAACAGGTCGGAGTGCAGACGCATCCAGTTCGAGGTTGTGTAAAAAGTTAAACGCGCTACCCATGCCCGTTTGCGAACAGCTACAAGTACTAGATTAAGCCCTAAGCTCCCCCAGCCCGCCTTCATCTCCTGCGAGCTTACCGGCTCTTTCCTATTGCGATGCATCTTGCTCTTGAATGGTTTCGACGCGACGTGTTCAAGTGCCTTTTCTATCTAAAATGAGAGACTAGGTTGCGTATCGTATTTGTATGCTGCCTGAAATACGCCATGCCATGAATACTGACCCTCGCATTCGCTCCGATCTTGCCACGTCACCTCAACAACCGACAACTACATAGCCAGGCTATTCGACGCCCGCTCCGACGCCCGCTCCGACGCCGCCACACGATATCAATACTGGATTCTTACCTTCGCGAGCAAATACCCTGCGAGCCTTCTACGGTCGAGCCTACCGATACATCCCCTGTAGAACGGTCAGAAGTATGCAAGAAAAGAAGGCTGATTCAAGTGGCCCATCTAGCAAAGCGATCGGCCGATATTGCAAATAGCGCTGCATCGCCAGTACATAACAATGACTCCAGTCGTATCTCTCCATATGAAATCACCGGTACTCCATGCAAAGAAGTACCAAGATCAAGGCCAATCAATGCACCAACGCGTTGCAGTCAGAAGGCTCTGAAAGCCGATACAGTCAGCTCGAAAATACAACGGTGGGCCGAGCTATCTCCAGCAAGGTGATCAGTGCCGTTAAAACTACGAGGAGTTGTCCAAAGAGGTAGGAGCTTAGCTGACTTCCAAAACTTATGTGACCTGTGCTTTGCGTTAAGTAACAGTCCTCTACTGACCTGTATTGGCAAGAACTCACCAGTAGAAGACGTAAAGCGAGCCTACAATTAGTACGAGCAGATTGAAGAGAATGCCAGTACAGTTCAAGCTCTCCCAGGTAGGTAGGAGGTACCATCTTGTCCGTTTTTTACAGATTATAAGAATGAGAACAACTTAAAGCTGGGAAACCCCTAGAAAAGCCAGCAAGTTAAAGGCCGACGGCTTTTAAACTTAATATCGCACCTATAGCAATGAACGAGGCCAAAGGTCAAAACCTTTTGAAACATGCAGATGCACGAGTTCAGGCTGTGAAGTCAATGCGCGACTTGGCGGGGCTACCAGTCAAGCATCCGCAACCACGGAAAGCCGAGACTTTGTCAGCCGTCTAAAAATGCCGTGTTTCACTTTGCAGGATACGGCAGCACAAAATTGGACCCTTTGAGCAACCTTATCTACTTTGAAGACTGGCTAGATTAATCGCTGACGATGAAGAGTCTTCATCTCACAAGCGCATTCTCACGGTGTAAAGTGTAACGCGCTTTATCGGTATCAACATACATTTCCTTTTCCAAGAGCAGCTGGAATTTTGACGACGTTTATCTGGAGTCTGAAGTGAAAGTGTATATAAACCATAAACGAAACTGAAAGCATCTTACCCTAGAGTTCGTATGCTAAGCTTGAATTTCCAATCAGAGTTTTCAGACCCCTGTATTTATGGGTCAGCGAGCACGGAGCAGGCGGGAAGCAACATTCAATTTCGGAGACCTCTCCAAGCCGCTATTTTCTCAACCGTTTAACGGCATCGATATAGTGGCGCATTAACATGAGTCTTTCATCAGTGTACGCGGCATCAGAGTCGCATCTCGACATTCCCTTCAATGCGTCCCTCAGCGGAATCCTCTTCCTCGCTTACCGCTGCCTCATCTCAAAGCCCAGCCTTCTCCTCGTCATCGTCTACATCACCAGCGCCATCATCGTCCTCTTTGATCGAACCTCGACCAAAAAAGAAATGGCCAAAACCATGGCCACAATGCCTCTAGGTCTCGGCTCCGTCCTCTGGTTCATCGTCGCTAGCAGACCAACCAAAACACAATGGCTCCACGCGTTCACCATTTACGTAAACTGTGCTGTTTACGGCAATATTCTCATGATGGTCGGGACGCCTTCTGGAGGGACCTTCCGTGGCATCAGTTGCAAAGCAGCTTGTATCTCTCTTTCGGCTTGGATTATTCTGCAGGGGTATCAAGTGCAGTGGAAAACTATCATGCTACACGATGACCTCTTTGTTTTCACCGCTGCCTCCAAGAACTGGATTTTTGCCCACGCAGTCTACCGATTCATTCTGCTCACGCTGCCATGCTTCGGATCTGGGAGGCGTCACCGGCTCATGGAGGTGTATTCTCTTGGTCTGACGTATTTATTGTCATGGAGTACTGGACTGCCGTTTGAGTACTGCTTCGGTATGGCGGATACAATCGTGGCGCCGGCAGTCACAGCGTGGTCATCCATTTCCAAGACTTTTAATCTCATTCCACGGGATGTAGGAAACGGTCAGCCATCTGTGAACGGTGTCTCGGACACTGGAGACGTATACCTGGGAATCGTTGCACTGGCTGTTGCTGCTTATGCAGGCCTTAACATACTCTCTCTAGGTCGTCTTGTATTTTAGCTGCTGGCAAAACTGAAATTTGAAGACACAGCTTGCTGGAACGATACTTCATCGTGATTAAGCATTTACAACGGCTACGTGCAGCAAAGTTTTGATGGGGACTTAAGCCTGCACGGTATATTTCAGGACTAAAAAGAATGTAGAGCTGTTAAAGGTAGACGAATAATACGCAAACACAATGCCAGAAACTATTGGATAAACACAATTCAAGCTCGTGTATATAACTTGACGGTCGTTGAAGTCTTGGAGTCCCGAGAGATAGAAGCAGCACAAACAATGCCGCTCATTCGTGGTCGTGGAAAGGGTATCTGTCTTCTCATTTATCACATGATTGACCTACGGAGTAGAACTTCAGAGTCTCGCTAGATGTAAAGTCAAGAAATCATGGGCAAACAAGGGCTAGTCTCGCGATTCAGCATCTGCCTCTATGTAACCTAATACTCTCATCCGAGGTCTATGATGCATTATTAGTATCCTCCTGCTCGAGGCAAAGTCCTACCCCAATTTACCCAGTCTCCATAACCACTTGCAAGACTAACATCCAGGCATTATCTACGGGATGCCTTTACCTAAATAGTCCTAAGATACTCTGAAGATCCCTACTGCCCAAACTGCCACCAACGTGATCGACGGCATCCTCAACATGATACCAAAAGAAGGCTTGCACACTCGCTCAAGTTCAGTCTCCTGCAGGCTAAGATCAACTTATGTAAGCTTGCAGTGTTTATTTGTGGCCTCAAACGCTTTACGTTCAACAACATGACTCGTAAATATCAATGCGGCAAGCCAATTACTCAGATACGTACATTAGATCAGAAGGGTTAGTGGTATAAAGAGAATCCGGGTTACTCATTTTTTGTGATAGCCACTCCGCCAAGATTGATGACCAAGGCGGGTTAATCTACAGACAATAGGGGTCATGGCGCAGATGTTCTGGAGTTTGAGAGCAAAGACCAATTTTACTTGTTGAGACCTCTTTTACATTGGGTTTGCAGCATAATTGATGCCGCGTAACCCTTGAACTTAAGTTGGTTGATCACGCATGGATGTAAGAGGTGCCGGATCAACAGAAGCGTGAAATCATTCGGTCACCCGGGGTTCAATAGTTGCTGACATAGAAGGTTGGAATTCCATTAGTGCAATCTCAACTGGGACTATGTATCAAGTTCCGTCAAAAGAACCTTTTGTTGTCAAATGAATACCGCGATCAAGAGCTGCCGGAGGTCCGGCAACAAGCAGGCAATCCACACACACCAATGTCCTCGTGGGTTTGCGGGTTAGCGCAAAAGATCTACCGTCTTAGCAACTATTCCCTTAACATGAACCAGCTCAATACCATCACGAAGATGGAGTGATCATCCAATCCCATCTGTAGCACATTATGATAATCCTTTAGACTTGTACACTGGAGCTATCTGCAAATCTCGGATTCTCCGTCCTTTTCCGTGTTCGTTAGCGTCATTCTTTAATTCCCCCACATTCAACCTACTTACAAGGATAGCTGGCCCGGATTCGTCGGAATACTAATTGTTGATAGGTCAATTCCCGGAACTCAGGGTCTCACATCAGGTCAACACTTGGCAACATGGTTCACTGACGCGTGCCGCCATAACATGTCGTGATATCAAATCTCGTTTGTGGTAGCATGTTATGCCGATCTTCAGCACAACACTGCCATGTAACGCTATTACATATTTGTTAAAGACTGTCAGCTAAAACATCCATGAACAATCAACCTGCAGCTATCCTTGCCGCAAAAAGTCTAATCACGAACCGAGCGGTCAAAAAAGTCCAGGGACTGAACCACGCATCTTTTAGGTTTCTGGGATGTTGGAAAAAGATAAATAGCTCCACATAGCCCCTACAATTCATGCAATACTACTCAACCCCGTCACCACATTAGTATATCTCCAGTCGTCACGCAGACCTTCATCATGCATTCTTGGTCATATCTCGGAGCTTCAGCGCTCATGCTCGCAACAATGGTCTCGGGTCTCAGCATCAAACTCGACGCCAAGGCCGGAAAGTCCTGCGAGTATACCGCGCCATGGCAGACGCTCCCTGAGCTTCCACCTATGCCTAAAACCAATTTCAAGGGCACTGCACCGATTAACGGAATTGATCTATGGTATGCGACATTCGGAAGACCGCTCAAGGAGACTAAGGCGAAAGGCCTTAGCCCTGTTGTTTTCCTCCATGGTGGCTTTGCGAATAGTGATTACTGGGCCAACCAGATCCGGTATTTCAAGAATCACCCCTACACTTTGATCACAATCGATTCTCGAGCTCAGGGTCGTTCGTCAGATGATACAAGCCGTCCTTTGACCTACGATCTCATGACTAAAGATGTCATCGGTTTGATGGATCATCTTGGAATTGAAAAGTTCTCAACTGTCGGTTGGTCTGACGGCGCATGCATTTCTTTCGACCTCACTATGAACTTTACCTCTCGTCTCGATCGTGCCTTTGCATTCGGCGGTACTTACAGCCCCGCGAACATCAATTCGTCAATTGGAGATAATCCCGTGTTCACGGAGTATCTGGAGAGAGCTGAGGCGGAGTGGAAGAAGATGTCGCCATACAAGGGCTCGTTCCAGGACTTTTCGGACAGAATGAACGCGATGTGGGCAGCTCTGCCAGACTGGGATGCAAAGTCGTTTGCCACGATTCCTACGCGATACTCTGATCCTAATGCTCCCATCATGTGGATTGTCGATGGTGACTCTGAGGAGGCTGTCAATCGCACCGTTCCCGGCGAACTCCATAGCTGGGTGGGTCAGCCATTCCATACTTCTCTTCAATTGCTAATAGTATCTCAGATCTGGGGTTCTGATCTTGTTATCCTACCCGGAGTCAGCCACTTTGCGCAAGTCACTGCATCTGTATCTATGCGACATCGATTAACCTCTTCACAGTTTCATGCAAGACCCAAAGACCTTTAACGCCATGGTAGAGCGTTTCCTCGAGATGCCTCGTTTCCTCGGCGAGCTGTAAAGCATCACTGTAGTGCTCGATGGTATTTAGCATACTGGTCTGCAGCTACGATGAGTAAGTGACGGCCCAACATTCATTCATCCACTTGAAATAGTTAAATATCAGAACCTAAAACTTAGTAGCATACTATTTGTAATCACCACATCCACTTCGTCGCAGTTTTCTCCACCCAATGACCAATAGCCCTCTTTTCTGTCCAAGCCCACTTCCCAATAGTAATAGAAGCCAAAGGCACAACTCCCAGAGTGGCCAATCCAACAAGCCATAGGTCCCAGTTCCTAGCCTTGAAAGTCGACACGCGCATATCAACTGTCTGTAGATGCATCGGTCGCAGTTCCTTCTCGCCATCAAATCGTCCTTCATTATCATACATGACTTCTTCGATAAGATCAGCACCGAGTTCTTTGCGACGTGATGTAGTTCTGGCGATCCGCTGCTTACGTACGTAGTTGCGCTTGTTCAATCCATCCATGTCCTCTATAGGAGCTTGATCTTTTGGCAGACTTCTTTTGCAGTGAAGCGGAATTGATCTAGAGCTTCAGAGGTTCCGCTTGCGACGAGTGGGGGTAAGTTGGAGATCTGATCAAAGAAAAAGCCCATAGCCAGCATTGGTTTCCCGTGGTACAGGCCCTCGTTGGCGCAAATCCCTTTTTACTCCTAGTGGCCAATTTACAAGAATAGGGACAGAGGAGAGCAAGCTCCAAAAGAGGTTCCAAAATCGAGTTTATAAAAGGGCTTCTAGTGCGCATTCACCTAAAACCTATCCAATATTGGATCCTGCTTGGCCGGCCACCCAACTACAAAACCAAGAAGCTGATCAGTCTCGGTAGGGTTGCGTCAGAGGACGAATAAGAAGTCATCTCAGACAAAAGATGCCCAGCACCAGTATCATGTCAACCGCTGGCGTCTTGATGAAGTTCTGATTAGTAAATGGCGGAGAGAAGAAAGGGGACGAATACAAGATGGAGGAAAGATGACCATAGATGAAAGTAGGGAGGCAATCAACCAAATGATACCGATGCGCAGGTGGTGGCCGAATCGCTGGGAAGTGGTGGTCTTGAAGGGCGAGCGCAAAATATCGGCGGTGTGAAGCATGCGGCAAGACAGGGCGAAACACAAGAGCGTGTCAGATAACCCAGTGCCATGTCTGTGCAAGACAATGTTGGGTAGTTGATTCGACCAGATATTTTATTGTGTTTTTGTAGCAATTTCGATTTTGGTAACTAAAGAAGTTTTGCTTAGATCGATCAACAGTTAAACATCTCAGAGACACTGTGTTTCGCACTACTGATTATCACAGAGTGTAGGGCAGAAGGATAAACGGCTGAAAATATTTGCTATGCAGGCTAGAACTATTGTATGATGCGATTCATACATTCTATGCAGGTATCTAAATGAAATAAGCGACATGCTAAGCCAATTCTTTTTGGGAAAACGTACACAGATGAAAGAATTAATATTTGAAGAAAGACCAATGTTGTGTCCACAAGCCGGTGCGCCGTTTTCAGACTTCACGAGTTTACTACCTTGAGTGCAGCCCCCGTCGTGGAAGAGCATACACTGAGTACCTGGCTGGACCAAAATGGACAAAGGAACAAAATGCTCGCCGTCGCAAGGGCCATTGTTGGCGCCTCCGTTCGTGAACTTTGTACAGGCTGTACCGGGCATGTCTTTGCCGAAGGTTAGACATCCGCTTTTACCTCCGCCTGATATAATTCGATATTGTGTGTCACCACCAGCGAAGCAATCAAAGGTTCCGGCGTAAGCGGTGACTATGACAAAATATTAGACTAGTCTAGAAAGCAGATGTATAACTCACTTTCCCATGCCGCGGCGGGTGTCAAAGTAGCCAAAAATACGGCAACCCAAGAAATTGGAGAGACACGCATAATTTCGTTGTTGTTGTTGTTGTTGTTGTTTGTGATATTGAAGAGATGGAGGACTGTGTGATAGAAGAGAGTAGGAAAGAACTAGGGCAGCGAAAAGAAGCGCTTTTATGGATAGTTCAGGTGGAATAAATCTGCCTGGCCATGTGACGATACTTTCATCAAATACGAGAACAATCTTGACTTCTGCGAATTGAGCTTCCTGAAACGTTCTAGATACTCCACGAGGGACTGTGCATGGACCTATCCAAGTATGGCCAACGAGAGCTAACACAAAGCTTTGTCCCACAACTTAGACTCTTAAGGCTCGGACTATCTATGCTCGGACTTTGGCTTAGATATTGATTTAGCGTCCCAGACAGTGGGGCTCGACCTTCTTGAGCTAAAATTGATACGTTCGCTTGGAAGTAAATTGGTTTTCTTCTATCAGCAGCCATACATGTCTCTTGAAGTCTACTTTTGTCTTAGCCCATCGACGTGTTGATGATCTCAGCTAATAAGAAATGATCGCGGCAAAGGAGTTGCATCGCTTTATTACATCACATATTCACTTGCAGATTGTCTGCTATGACCTATGTCATTATAGGCAGCTGTTAATATCTCACCCATCAAGCTAGCCGTATCTAGGCTCTAAACCAAGTCTGTCAATAACTGAGTGCGAGTTTCCCTTGCTCAAAGTCTGAGCCTCGGACTTAGCCCTTGTCTGCTCCATACACTAGCTTAGCCCGCTCCTTGGCTCGCGTCTTCAAGGGTCGATAACATTTCATTTGTCGGAGCTGTAGATACAATCAGCACTAGAGGTGATAATCGACGCACGCTTCGTAAGGATTTCCTCGAGACGTCTCCTAAGTACTATGCCCTTGAAAAAGTTGCTGTACTCGCACATGTGAAAGTCAACAGGGATTATCTCTTTAAGTGGCACAGGACTGCGGGAATGTTACGACAGGGGCGTAAGGATAATTAAAATGATGCACATGAAATATACTTCTAAACATTCCTAAGTTAGCATGTGATAGAGGTACAAGCAGGTCAGATAGTTACATATCACTACCTCATCAAAAGAGCATCTCCTATAGAACTTTTCGTACCTCGCACGTACTCAGTGATTACCTAATGATCGTGGAGCTCGTGACTTGCTGCAGTCTTGTGCCACTCAAAGAGATGAATCTTTGGTGGCATACCGACAATGGTGTGCAAACAATTAAAATGATCAGAACGAAGGGGACCTCCAAGCGCACCTTGTTTGGCGTGCTATAGTAGTTCTAACAAACCTTATTGTTATAAATCGTTATATTGCATTCTTTGCAGCCCGTATCGAGTCTGCCCTGTTATTAATTGTAGGGCCATTACCAAGCTTCCTTTTCTTCAACAGCCACTAGAAGCCAGAACCATTGGACGGGTAAGTTCTTTTGATTTAGCTCAATCAACTGGCACTTTATACCTGATATGTTGAATCCTCCGTTGGTAAGCATGGATCACGATCCATCATGATGTACGTGCTGTTCGTTTCTATGTCTGCGGGCGTTGCTAGAATGCTTAACTGCATTTAGCATAGACCCAGAAAAGCCGGTTTACTTACCTCTAAATTGCTGTATTTAATACTAACTACCCTTACTATACCTTTTTAGTAAGGTTTACAGTTTATTAAAGTTTAGCTGCCTTTATTAATAGGCCGGCGTATTTATCTTATATAATCGGCGCTCTCCGCAGCAATATTCTGGATGTTGAAAAGCATTTCATCTGATTTTCGTGTCGCTTTCAAGGCGATGCCTCAGTCTGAAACCTCTGTTTTTCATTGGAAATTAACCATAGCCACTTCTGTTTTGATTGCATCGCCCACGGTTCAAGAGACTACGTCTTTGAGTCCGTTCCCAAGGAGGCACACGATGCGATGCTTTATTCGAATATCATGATGTAAATTTATTTAAGTGATAGATTGACGTTATCTCAGTTTGCCAACTATTTGAATTACATATATAGGATCCCCAAATTCTTCATCATAGAGCCTCTTGAAGACCCTTACAGTTAGCTACGCTAAAAATGCTCCCTTTATTACTCACTGGCCGCGATAATCTTGTCCGCCATTGCAGGTAGCGTTTCAGCAACCACATCTAGCTCCCCATAGATCTCATAGAGATATTCACCCTCCAATACCATACTGTAGGCAGTCCTAAACCTACAGCACCTCATGTTAGTTACCTCATACTATAACCGCCACGAAGAGCACCTCTTACCCAGCAGACTCTGCCCTAGACACGTCCCAAAGATGCGCAGCAGCGAACAAAGGCTTTTAGTCAGAAGTGGAAAGCTTGTTTAAGATAGGCTCATAAGCCTCAGGACACAGCTTCGCGACTCTATTTGTGTCACAAGACAGTATATTCTCAGCCGGCATGTCTACTCCAGCCTTAGAGAAATATCCAACCCCCAACCCCCCCGCCACGGGAGATATCCCCAGTCGTGAAGCACCAAACAGTGAACCCTGCATCACGAAGCTTCTGGACACACTCTGCAGCTCCATCCCTAAGCTTCAACTCCTTGAACTCATTCATCAAATACGCAAAATTTCGGCGGTTGCAAAAGAGCGAAGATTCTCAACGTCAGCATAATGACGACAGCGGTAGAATCGAGCTTCAAAAAGCTTGAAAAACTGCACATAATGACCGTGAAGAGACATTTACACGTACTCACGCTCTGCCATTTCTAGCCAGCATATTCCGAGGAGTGTGGGCTGAATACCCCGGGGTATGAGCTTATCGCCCAGGCGCTCTTTGATAGCTTCGTAGAGATGCTCGTAGCTGACGAGGGTTCCGGCCACGTCGAAGACAACGTTTCTGTTGGGATCAGTCATTGTCTCAGATATCTTGATAATTACATTGATAGAGCGAAATAAATAGATCAGGCTACAGTTGGTTCTTGCATAGTGCTTGGCATATAATGTGACGGGGATTAAATAATAGATTTGTCGTTATCAATCAGAGCATGGAGATGTATCTTCCCGGCACTAGGTTGTAATACTAAGTCGTTCATGCGACATCAACGTACCTTGAAACTTTAGCAATCAG